TCGTAGTCGTAGTCGTAGTCGTAGTCGTAGTCGTAGTCGTAGTCGTAAGTAGTAAGTAGTAAGTAGTAGTAAGTAGTAGTAAGTAGTAGTAAGTAGTAGTAAGTAGTAGTAAGTAGTAGTAGTAGTAGTAGTAGTAGGAGGAGGAGGAGGAGGAGGAGGAGGAGGAGGAGGAGGAGTAGGAGTAGGAGTAGGAGTAGGCGTAGGAGTAGTAGCAGTAGTAGGAGTAGTAGTAGGAGTAGTACGAGTTTTATTTAGTCAGTTGAAGAAGAAGTAGTAGCAGCAGTAGTAGTAGTTGTTGTTGTCGTTGTTGTAGTAATAGTAGGAATAGTAGTCTTAGTCGTCGTCGTCGTAGCAGTAGCAGTAGCAGTAGCAGAAGCAGAAGCAGCAGCAGCAGGAGGAGGAGGAGGAGTAGTAGTAGTAGTAATAGTAGTAGTAGCGGCAGCAGCAGCAGGCAGCAGCAGTAGGAGGACCCAGTGACACAGGATCAAATTAAAAGGGGGTAGTAGTACAGATTATTGAGGGGGGACGAGCCCTTGTGAGGGGTACCCTTTGTGAGCTTCTCGAACGATGTTTTTTTGAAGGGAGAATTTCATCAGAAAGTCAGTAGTAGGTAGAGAGTAGTAGGAGTAGTAGGAGTAGGAGTAGCAGTAGCAGCAGTAGGAGTAGCAGTAGCAGTAGCAGTAGCAGTAGCAGTAGCAGTAGCACAGCAGTAGTCGTAGTAGTAGGAAAACAAGTACTTGGCAGTGGGCTCGCATTAACTGGGGGGTTTCTGGTATCCAACTAGACCATTAGGGGGGAATAAGCAACCAATACTATTTTTAATTTGGGCAATTTCCAGTGGTTTGCGGGCTCGGATAAACTAGGCGAGGTTTATTAATCGTGACTTGACTTTACATTAGAAAATGAATGAGGCCCCAACCTAGCTGGATCAATTTTTCCAAAAGCACTCAAAGGTACCCTAAGTATTCCCCACCTGCCAGGTGAGGGTTGTTAGATTGTATCAGAGCTCTTCTCCCTCATCCTTCCTCCTTCCTCCTGCGCCTCCTCGCCACCACAACTGCAAGCGCCGGATCACAGTGGGCACTACCGGACCCCAACAGCAAGTGCCAGATCGCACCGCAACCGCCAGCTCCCGAGGACCTCAATTGCAGCGGGCGCTGCCGGACCTCAACTGCCAGCTCCCGAGCGCAGTGGGCACTACCGGACCCCAACCGCAAGCGCCAGATCGCAGTGGGCACTACCGGACCTCAACCACAAGCGCCTGGTCGCAGAGGGCACTACTGGACCTCACTGCCAGCTGCACTACCGCAGCCCAACCGCGAGCGCCAGATCGCAGTGGGCGCTGCCGGACCGCAACCGCCAGCTCCCGATCGCTGCAATTGTCTTCGGTTGGTTTGCAGTGCTATACTTGGCAACTGAATTGTAGCTACCCTGGGTATACCAGGCAACTGCCTTGTAGCTGCCCTGGGTCCGCGCGCGCGCCCCTAAATCACGGGCAGCCGGGAGCCAGCAAGGCGCGCGCTCGCGCGCGGACCGAGGGTAGGGAAATTGAAGCGGGATACCTGACATCAGAATTGTAGCTACCCTGGGTCCGTATAGCTGCTATGTTGCTATACCTCTTACACACCTATATAAGTTCAATGCAAGAATGAGCCTTCAAAGCTTTGGATTGCTGTGCGTGTGCAAAGGTTATCGAGCGGTTGACGGAAAGGGAACTTGACGTACTATACCTGGTAACTGAATTGTAGTTACCCTAGGTATCTATACCTGCGCCAGCTGAGTAAGAAGGGGGGTTCGGGGGGGTGGCCTGAGAAAGCACACTCGAAAGTAAAAACGCCGGCTTTCGTTTTGCAGCTTCTCAGGTTATGCCATTTTATAAGAACTCCTGTGCTTGGTCTCTCCTCCAGTTTGTTGCCTGATTTTTTCCAGCTGCTGCTTTAGCAATTTCAGAAAAAGGTCGGTAGCTAATTCTATTCAAAATAGGCTGGCATTTCCATTTTGCAGTCCTACTTGCAGAATTCACAGGGCAAGGCGTAAGGTAAGGAAGATCACAAACACACACACAACCACAAACACACAACCACAACCACAATCACAAACACACTGTTACAATCACAACCACAAACGTAAACGCACAATCACAAACACACAGCCACAAACAACATGGAAAACCACTAGACACACGACCATGGCAACATGCCCCCCACCATGGTATGGAAGGAAATATTGACATGTCATTGTGGGGGTCATTCGAAGTAAAGTAGTTTTTTTTATTCATTGAGGAGGGGTTCTAGTTCTAGGGCCCCATCTAACGTAGGCGCCATTAAAAAAATATTTAACGACGGTTTGTTGGCCCAAGCAGGTCATCAGACTCGCACTGTAGCACCAGCATGGTGACACCACTGGTGCCAGAGATAGTTGAGGATTGTTGAACAAATATGTTACCCCTAAATAATTACCAGGAGGGTGGTCTGCCATGGTCTACCAGTTTCTGCGTTCTTTCGGCAGGTCAGTGAGGAACTTCTGGAGTGGCGTGTGCGGGTGACGAAGCGAGGACTAAGGCTGCCAGCCTGGCATCAAGTGCAGGTAGATGAGAAGGCACCTGAAGAGCTCAAGAACCACCTGGAGGAGTTGATGGATGCTTTGCAGCAGTGGGAAGATGTGGACTTCCAACTCAGGAGCATTAAAACAGCACGGCAATATGAGTTTACAATGTTCATGAAGTGCAAGAAATCTCCAGTTCACGGTGCATCATTTCTATACATCATGAGTTCAAGCCTCGCACACTCTGGTGTTATGTTTCGCTCCAGGAGAACCTCTCCAACTCTGAACCTCTTCACTCACTCCAACATTCGCGACTTATCCGGTCCCGAACCCAATCGGACTTTGTTGGCTCAACTAGGCCTCAGGCCGGAGCAAGTGGAGCTTATCCGTAAGGCACTGCTGCCTGCAGAAACGATGTGGGACTCAACCCTTCGCTTTGTCGGTGGGCTGCGTCGCTTCTCGCTGCTCTTCGGTTTGCAGCCCATGGTGCGTCGTGAAGCTGAGGCACTCAAGCATGTGTCAATGGCATTGGAGAAGGTGCACCCACTGGAATGGCGGGTGAATGTGCCGGCCTACTTAAAGCAGGGCTCCCCGAACCTTTTCCGGCTGGAGGCATCCAGGGTGATGCCATCACTTCTGCAAATGTTCCAAGATGTGCAGGGATCCATGCCGCACGCCAGTCAGGTTCTCGTTTGTTTTGGGTTGCCTGACATGTGTGAAGAGGAGCAGCTTCGATTGTTTTTGCTGCGGTGTATGCTCAGCAACTCTCTCCATGTGCTCCTGCTGCCGGAATCTCTGAGTTACAAAGCTCAAGAATACTTCACATCTCTCTGGAGATTTTTGGTCCAGGAGCTTCAGGCTTCAGCCGGACAAAAAAAGTACTTGCTGGCCCTGGTGGTATCGCAGAGAAGTTGTTTGCTCTTGGACTTTTTCCGTGCATATCAGCAAGATCCACCCCAGCTGCGAGTTGACCTTTTGCGTACACAAATCCAAGAGCGCTGCACCATCGTCTGGTCGCAGACGACCTGTGCAGGACTGACATGTGCTCCAGTTTGTTGTAGCTTCTAATGGGTGAATGTAATCGAAAATCATCCAAACAATTTTCGTAGGATTTCGTCGGTATTTATTGTCACAGGTGATTCAGGATTAGTACATAAATGATCATACCTCCTGAGAATGGGTTTTGTATCGGATGGTGGGCCCTTTGGGGCCGGATCACTTCTTTTAGAGACTGGTTCGATCCAGGCAAGTCCACCTGGGTCAAGCACGAGCTGCAGGGGCGCCGTCTTACGCATACCTCAGTCAGCCTCAACGAGCACACCAGTGAGCTCCAGCTGATCACGCAACTCCAAAGCTGTTGCAGGTGGCGCAGGGGTGCGATAGTGCTTTGTATATCACCCTTGGTGCAAGCCCTCTGGGTGGATGTGGTGGTGTTCCGGCAACTTGGACTGCAGGAGGTGAAGCCCACCACTCCCTTTGTCCGGTTTGTTGGTTTTCAGCATCTGTCCATACGCAAGAAGGCCTGTTCGGACGATAGATGGGTCGACGTGCGAGCGGAGAGCTTCATTGTCGTCATGGCACCGTGCGCCGCACGGGGGCACGACTTCTAAACCTTTTGTCTCAGGTTGTTGGTCCTTCGGAGATTGGTGCATGAGGATGGCACGCCGTTTCTGCTGGATGCATTGGAGAGACTTTATCTAGAAGTGCCCAATGTGTTGGATGAGACCTCACCTTTCCGAAGTCTGGCCTTTTTCGATTTGGCTGCACGGCACGAGGCTCGGATGGAGCTGAATACTGATCATGGCGACCTGCAACTGGCGTGCCGGTATCTCCGAACCTGCCATCATGCAGTGCTTGGGAGGGTAATGCAAGAACATGTCGGCCGGGAAGAGTGTCGACACCTCTTGGAGCACTATGGTCCAAGAACTGCGAGTGATGTTTCGGCCATCGGCACTTCACCAGTCTGAGCCTTAGCTGTTAGCAGCCTCCCAGCTATTTCAAGCCATACAGTGTCAGGCTTCTTATCCGGGTGGGCAGAGTGGTACAAGCTGAAGAGATGTCCCTTGAGATAAGAACGCACAACGAATTCCGCGAGCATCCCAGAATTGCGTGCCATCAGGTCTTGGTCATTTATTTTGCGCGCCTTCTGTGCCACCTCTTCGAACATGCCATGCCGCTGCTGCGGCGGTGGCATCGTGGCCAGTCGGATGTGGCAGTGATCCAATTTTTTACCAAGTCCATATGCGACCTCGCGGGGGAGCTGGCATCCAGGCACCTCTTGAGGCAAGGATCTGTTGTCGTTCCTGTTCTCAAGTGTTCCATTTGACATCGTAAATTTCTGTAAAATTTAAATGGAACATGGATTCAGCTTGATAAATGGACTGATCACACTGTTGGCGAAATGTCACTGGACACCTTGTTTGAGGAATTCCTTTCTCGACTGGCACTGCAACATCTTGCAGATCCCTGAAGATCGAGGAAGATCTTTTCCGCTCTTGTATGACTGGGGGTTGCGGATCGTTCTGACGCTTGGCACATCTTTGCCTGGCATTTTGATGTTTTGTTGCTGTTTGTCAGCAGATGTCCGGCGGGAGAGACGATGCCTTGATTTGAATCGAGTCACTGGGCATTTCCGGGTCTCTGAGGATCCCGCACCACGGAGATCGTCCAAGCGGTTTTGATGTCCATGCTTCTGGGTTTGTCCCAGTGGTGCGGGCTGGGAGTTTGAAGTTCTTGAACCAGGCTGAGAAGAAGCTGTCAAGCAAGGCACAGGGAAAACAATGGAAAACATCGCTGCATCACAATACCTTGGGCTGACAGGGGACGCATGGGAAACGCATATGAATATGATATTATAGAATAGTAGCTAGTATTATATCAAAATTAAGTCATATGCTTCAACTTTTTAGATGGAACTTGCAGCAATGAGTGTCATTACAAAGCAGTGTTGTATTGGAGCATGGAGAACCCACAGTCAGAATCTACGCTGTTTGGAGCAGCCCTCCGACTGCACCAGGTGGGCCTGGACATCAAGCCCTACGCAGAGCTGAGAAGTGGGACGGTAGACACAGTTGGAGAGGGAGATACTTGGACACCCTCGGAAAGTGTTTCTATTATTTTCTATTTGAATCGATGTGGATGTTGGAAGTGCGGCTGACATGACTTTTCAACGCATTTTGCAAGCCCAGGAGATATTGCTGAACAAGATCTTTGGCATGTGCGACAACACCCAGGCCCTCCTGCAGCACGTGAATCAAGTACGCCGTGACCCGCGGCTTCTTCGCTTCGCCCTCACCGTCGACAACATCCTGAAGATGGTGGCGCTCTACCATCGTGTCACTTCCGGCGTGCCCGTGGTGATCATGGGGGAGTCTGGCTGTGGCAAGAGTGCTGTGGTGTGCTTCCTTGCCAAGTTTTTGCGCCTCAGGGTCTTCACACTCGATGTGCACGGTGGCCTGGAGGAAGAAGACATTCTCAAGTTCATGGATGAGGCAGAAACCGTTTTTCACGACGTCTCCAGTGTTTTGCGCATGTGTTATGAATACGCCCCTGTATCGTACATGGCGGAGCGTGTGCCGCCGGAGTAACAGACACACACACAGAGGATAACGACATGTTCCTGCCTTGGTCATCCCATATGGTTGGTGTGTTTGCACGATATGCGCAAAGCAGATGATTTGCTTCGGTTTGCTGAGGGGGGTGGCCAAATAGGCAATGACACACTGCTCAACTGCATCCGGAAGCAATAATGCGTTGAGTGGAAGAAGTAGAATTCATGCAGCGGCCAGATGTTTGCGAGTAGCTCGAAACTTCTCAATGGGAACATTAATTTGGAACTAACGCATTCTGTTCTACTCAGTATGGTGCCGCATTGAAGGCTTTGGACAAATCAGCACATTGCTGTCCCAATGAGACAACCGTTTTCAGATATCCTTGCCTTGCAGGGGCTGGAAATCTAACCACAAAATACATCAAACATCCACGGCCATCTAACAAATGTGCAGCCATTACTGTATATAAGTATCGCACTTTGGATCAGATCAAGGTGGATGTCTCTCACAGAGTTTTCTTGTTCAAATCGCAACCTTTTGTGACTGGACCAACCTGTGAATTTGCCCTGAGGCAATCGCTGCAGCCTTTGGGCAGCCGAATCTGGGTTGTCCAAGGGCAGCTGTTGAATTTAGCAGTTATGGGTTTGTTGGTTTCAGAATGAAAGCATTTCATCAAAACAATGCCGCTGTTTGTGCCCTTTTAGATTTGTGCAGATATGGGGAGAAGACTGGCCTAAGATTTGTTTGCGTGTGCATGCCCAACAGGCCACTTGGGCGTTTCTTTGAATCCTGGTGGTCAGTGGAAAATAGTCAGTCGTGATCCAAGCCTATCCGCTGGTATACTGTATATCTCTATTTTTTTGACATGAACGAAGGTGGTACTCTTGCAGCATTGCGATAATAACAGGCCGGGTATTCAGCTATCTCAGTGCTATCATACAATTCATATAGTATGGTTTTCTTGTCTTGTCGGCACATATGTGCCCATGCAGCTACTCAAGGAACGAGATAGTGTGGACCTTCTTAGATGAGATCAACACGGCCAGCTGTGTGGGTCTTTTTCGAGAGCTTATTTGTGATCGCACTATGCAGGGAACCCCACTGCCAGAGAATCTGAAGGTTTTTGCGGCCTGCAACCCCTATCGCTTGAAGCAGAAGTGGCACGAGACTGGTGGCTTTCAAGCCACAGACGCCGGCACAGGCGGCGAGGGGGTGCGGGGATCTTTGGCGGTCATGAAGGGACGTTGGCGGGCTATAAAGAGAGGAAGAAAGGGGTACGACTTGGCTCGGCCAGCGATTGCCTCAGGTGAACAACAGATTGCCCCACTGACCGATTTGGTCTATGCCGTGTATCCGCTTCCAGCATCACTCATCGCTTGCGCTTGGGACTTTGGGATGTTGAGCACCGCCGAGGAGGAGCGCTATGTGAATGCCATCCTCAAGTCCTTGCCATATGGCTCAAGCGAACCACGGCCTATGCGCAAGTTGATGGCCATTGCGGTTCTGACATGCCACAAGTTCATGCGGAAATGGGATGTGGTTTCTTGGGCGGAAACTATCTAGCAGCAGGAGGTATGGGTTTGGGTTTGTTTTGTATGCTCTTGTGATCTGCTGTGTCCTGTGGTTGTTTTTTTGGTGCTGCGATTTGATGATATGGTGGTGCTTTGAGGCAGCAGTATCTCTGAGGGATGTTGCCAGAGTCGCCAAGCTGACGGCATACTACCAAACAAAATTGGAGCATCGTGACCCTACAAGTGACTCACTCTTGCTCAAGGCCTGGTATGAAATAATCGGCATCGGGACGCTATACTGCAATATGTATAATTGTAGCCGTGAGATGTTTTTGCTTGTCTTGCCAGTGTTCGTGAGATGTGTGAATATTTATGTGACCTCTCCAAATTCGGAGAAATGGGAAACATGGAGGAAGACCAACACTGGCTGGTTCAACTTGGCTGGGTGTTCGGTGTTCCCGTATTCAGTTCGACAAGTTCGACCAAGCGTTCTGCAGGCTTTCTTTGTGTCCCTGTGCCTTTGCTACTGGTTTCGGCTGAGCTCTGAACACCGCTCAAAGCTCCTCGAGACCATCGAGTGGGAGTTTGGACGGGCGTGGACGGCGGAAAAGCTCTGGCTGGACGATGGCCGGTGGCGTCTCAAGGCGCATCAGTGATTGAACGCACGGGTCTGGAGTGGCTGGGTGGCTCACAGAACTGGAAGCCTGAGGAAAGTAGCCTTCCAAGGGTCGTCCACAATGGTTAGTTTATTTGTAATTATATGTAATTATCAATTATAGCTTTTGGCGAGGTTTGATGGGCCATGTCATCGCTCGCATCGCTGCTGTTTCTCAGCTCAATTCCCTTCCGCCCCGGGATTCCCTCCAGCTCATCTATATCTTATCTATATAGTAATTTTTGTGCCAAAATGAAAACTTTTGTCCGTGCTGTGTGACCACTGACATCTTGGGTCAAACACCTTTGTTTTTTGCACGTGCACTACACACACTATAAAATCATGTGCCGAATTATCGCGACGTCACTTTAAAGATACGACCCTGCAGATTCCCAAAGACCTCAAATTGGGTGTTTTTGAGAAAGGGTTTCGGGTGTCGCTGGTGCACTTGACAGGGTAGACCTGATGGGAGGCGTTCGTTTTTTGTCCTGGTCAGAAGTGCCTTGTGAACAAACTCGCTTTGTGATCATGTGCTCAACCGCCAGGAAGCAGTAGAAGCCTATTGGCCGAACCTGCCAGAAGGGTGGTACAAGGCCTCCTTCATTGAAGAGCTGATTCAAGAGGAGACCGTGACATGCAAACATGCTGAACGAAGAATATCACAGTTGAAGAAACCACACTCACAACGGAAGGAATACGGTCAATGATTGGCTGAAGGATTCAGAAGGGCTTTTGACGATTAGTAGTCGTTTGGGCTGTTCAAGATTGAGGGCCTGCAGGACTAATTCGTTTGAAGTTCCAGGTGGGTTTTGTGAGTGATTTCCAAGAAACCCAAGACCCCAAACAACGAACAACCATCATAATGATTGCAAACTACAAGTTGCTTCCCCTTATTGCCAAAAAGAAGGCTTGAAAGATACGGAGACGACACAGACCAGGGATGTGGGACTCCATCTGAGTCTGTGGATGCCAGGAGATGACGCACATGATCAACGCCCTGCTGCCCTTGCCGCCTGGTGTCGCTCCGAATGGAGCACTTCGAGAGAAGCTTGGATGGAGAAGCTTAGACAATCTAGGGTGCACTGAACTTGTACACTTTAGGTCCTTTGATTGTGCTTCTGCTGAAAACGACGTCACCGATTCAAGCAGGTCGGTATTAAACAGGAAAGGGCTTCCCCAACTTGTGAACTTGAAGGCTGCCGTTTGATGTTGCCAGGAACCTTTTTGTGATGATCCTTTGCATTGATGCACGGCTCCCTTTGGTACTTGTTGGGAAGCCCGGCTCCTCCAAGAGCCTGGCCATGCAGGCTCTGGGGACAGGTTTTGTAAAGGGGGCATGCCCGTGTAATCATGTCCATTTCCGTGAAAACGAGATTGTGGGCGGCAAATGCAGTAAGGTTTCGGTTCGGTTCAAATCGGTTTGAATGTTTAATTGAAACTTCGAATCGGTTCGGTTTGGTTGTAGAAGTACTTTTTCATGGACTTTCGGTTCGGTTCACGGTTCGTTTCGGTTCTGTGAGGTATAAGTTTCGCAGTGGGATAGAGAAAAGAAAGGCAATGACAAAGAGACAAGACAAGACTAGACTATACTTGTAGACTATAGACAAGACAGGACAGAACAGGAGAAAAAGGGAAAATCGAAAGCAAAAGGAAAGGCAAGGAAAGGAAAGGAACTATTTTCAGGAAAGGAACGGAAAGGAAAGGAAAGAAAAGGAAGGGAAAGCAAAGAAAGGGAATAGAAAAGGAAAAGCAAGGGGAAGGAATGCAATTTGTGAATATGCTTTTTCCAGGCCTTCCAAAAAGCATATTGGAAAGGACAGCCGAGAAAAGGAAAAGGAAGGAAAGGAAAGCAAAGCAATTGACAAAGAGAGGAAAAGGAAAAGGACAGGTAAGGTATGCAATTTGTGAATATGCTTTTTCCTGGCAGTCCAAAAAGCATATTGGAAAGGAAAGGACAAGGAAAGGAAAGGACAATGTCAGGGAAAGCAAAGGAAAGGAAAAGGAAATGGACATGGACAGGTAGGAATGCAATTAGTGAATATGCCTTTTCCATGCCGTCTATATTATAAGCATATTGGAAAGGAAAGCAAGGAAAAGGAAAAGGAAAGGACAGCATTTTATGAATGCGCCTGAAGCCGGGCCGGGCCAGTGACATGCTGTATGGACATTCCAGTGGGGGACTGCTGCTCTGAAACTCAAGACTTTGGACAGTCTGAAAAAACGTCACAGCGGAACAGAGCGGAACGGCTCGTTTTTCTTTTCGGTTCGGTTGTGTTTGGAAAATTGACGGTTGTAATGATTCGGTTGATGAAAAATTTCGGTTCTTGACATTCGCTGACTTTCGGTTCCGAAAGTTCGGTTCCGAATCGAATCGGGACCCTTCCTGAAATGCTGGGAGTGGTGCCGAGGTCACAAGATTTGCCCAGTGCATCTTTGGCTCCACACTTCCTGTTTTTGACATACTCCACCCCCAATCTAGGAACTGCAATACCTTGAATTTAGAGGGTGGTTGGTTTAACTTCAGCCATGGATGTGTTTGTTTCAGACATGTTTGCAAAGGCTGATAGCGTCACACCTGAGAACCGCCGCGACTACTGGCGCTCTTGTGCAGATCATCCGTGACTAGTTCCACCGGGAAACCAAGCCGAGCAAGCTGTCACACTACCCAGACATTGCAGTGCCACTGCTAGATTTGCGGCTGTGAGGTCCCAAGTTTGCACATGTAATATGTATGTTTGATGTATCACACACATATATATTTAATACCAGTATGCTGAGAGATCATACTACATATATCTACACATTATATATCCTTTGCCTTGTCTCGCTGCGGATCGCGCAATCATAATACGTAATTTGCAAATACTTATGCTGGTCATGAATCAGCCTAGCTGCTAGCGGTGATGTGGAACAGGCTTTAGCAGGGTATGGCAGAGTAATAGGGCGTTGACACAGCTCCCGAAGAAAACCTTTCTGACTGACAAGTAGACCGTACATATTACGGGTGGATACGGGTGGACTTCTTGATGAGTGCCTTTGCAAGCTGACACCCAGGTGTTTCCTTACCAGTGCTCCAAGCACAGCCATGCGAAGGACGGGTCTCAAAGAGGAGTCGTTTATATACAAAGCTCAGTCAGAGACTCAGAGAGAGAGAGAGAGAGAGAAAGAGAAAGGGGAAGAGATTCAATCAGCACTCACACCATGTCCATCAATGGGTTTCCTATTTAGACCCATGTCCATGTCAGCTCAGACAATGTTTAGCAGCATATGTCATCATGACCCATGGTGCTTCACAAACAAGTGACAGTTTAGATGATCAAGCCAACCCTGCCTACCAGGACATAGAGGGGCGATTTGAAGATGCCAGAAAGTATGAACAGGCCACGCTTGGGTGTGCCAGGATTAGTGCTAATCAATTGAATGCTCGTTCTCTTTGTTTTGCTTCCGATTGCTGCTCTCAATCACCGGTGCATTTCTCTCTTAGCCTTGCACCTTGCTCAAGACATCTTAACCACGCACTCCCAAGATTATTTCTGTATTGCTTCTTGGTGTTGCAACCATTTTTGTTTGAAGTTGAGCCAAGACATTTGAATGAAGCATTGATTGCAAATTGTAAACCTGTGAGTCTGTGAGGGTCAACCCGCCCAACCCCCACCTACAGGATCCTCAGGAGGATCGACGGGGCGTGGTCTTCTTGGATGAGGCGCCACGCAGAATCCTGCATCGGCAACACTGAAATGACGATGTGGAAGTCTTAAGTCATAGTCCTTTGACCGAGTTTGAGGGTTCTGCTGGGGTTTTGCTTTTGCTTTTGTTCCGCTGGATCGCTTGGGGTAGCACCTGGGTCACCCAGTGTGTTGGGTTTTGGCTGCTCGCGGGGTACCCCGCTTTCATGAATGGGGGTCACCCCTGGCACTTTGGGTGTGTCTTCTCTTCAAATGTAATAAAACCATGATAGCCCAAAAGAGTCCCAAGGTCACACTCAGACCTCTCGAACGCACAGGTGGGTTTGGCGGAGCGTTCGCCCAATTTGCCTTTGAAGGTGGGGATTGACCTGCCGACCACTGAAAAGGTGAGGCGAAGATAGGGATGGACACACCGTCTTGAACTTCGCACTCCAAGACGATGGCAAGCAACTAAAGCCTGGTGCTATGTCCTTCCTTCAAAGCCGGAGTGACACGTTAGAGAACCTTGGTTTGGTGGTTTTTGCACTCGCCATAGATTCACCACAATTATATGTAGATGATATTAGATGACTCTAAATAATCAAGGCAGGGTCATGAGAGGTCATGGCGGTCGGCCGCAGGTGCTGCACAAGCTTCTGGAGATGCCCGAAAAGCAGGCAACCCGGATCATTTTGGGCAATTGCACTTGTCATTTGAGGCCACAGATCTGTTGCCAGGTGAGCTTTGTGGGACTTTCCAATTGGGCTTTGGACGCTGCGCCACCTGGAACGATCGGGGCTGGGCAGGGCGTTCCGGATGGTTCCACAAAACAGGCAAGGCAAAGCCAGTTGGGGGTAGAGTGACTGGGTCATGAGGCCCTCAACGTTTTTCATAAAAGCACTAGCACACTAGCATAGCCAGGTGTGTCAATGAATCATGAATCTAGGAAATATGCAAATATCATCACATATCAAAGCTTTTCACAGGTTGCCCATGTTGCCCGGTGCTTGAGGAAAATGAATCGTTGCCTCCTGCTGTCGCGCGGGGACGCGAAAAAGGAGGAGACTGCAGGTTTCGTTGATCCGAATTGGTCTCCATTGTAGGGGTTTCGACTTATCTTGACACTGGAGAGACATTTTGACAGACATGACACAACTAACTTACAGCTCAGCGATGGTTGCACTCGTACTGTAGAATAAATGAAGATTAGGATGTGTGCAGGGGCAAAATGGGACACGGATGTGGCGTCTGCAAATTTTAAAGGTTGCAGAAGATGTCTCCAGAGAAGCCACGAACCTGATTGTGAGAGGAGCTACGCAGCACGGCTGAAGCCATTTTGGGCGGTGCCGGTGTGCTTGTGGAGGCCCGATCCCTTGCAAGCCTCAGATCAAATAGCAGTACATGGGCACATATAAAGACCCATGGGTAGCACAGGACGAGTGGAACTTGGTGGATGTGCTTGCTAAAAGTATCGATGCTGTTCAATTGATACTGACGATATGTAAAATATATAATAGTGTCATTTTGAGTGTATACATGCTGCTGTATAGCTTTTTTCCCCAAATAGTGCTCCGCACTAAGGGGTTCTTACGGTGAGAGTTAAGGGCCGGGTTTAGATCAGGGTTCGCGCGTGTGGTTGCGGCATTTTGCGTGGGCCGGCTCGCACAAAAGTTACTTTTTGAATTCCTCATGTCCATTTCGACTGCGCAGGCTCGCATAAAGTGGGTGTCGCGGTTTTCGCGCTTCCGGGACAAAGCTCTCGTGCAGGTGCCGTGCTCGTTTTCGGACATGAAGTGCATTTTGCGTGGCAGGCGCAAGGAATTCGACACATTGGAGCCTCGAAAACGTCATTTTACGTGGCAGGTGCAAGGAATCGGAGACTTTGCAAATTTCGTGGCAGGCGCAGTGTTTTGTGGACGCTGCAAAAACGTTGGCAGGCGTGTGTCATTCGCAGGACTGCGTTTCACGTGGCAGGCGCAGGGAATCCGCACCATGGATGCGATATTTTGAGGTGAAGCGGCTGAATTCGTGAGAGGGGTCGCATTTTTCGAATTTGAACTTGAGGATGCTTTTGCGTGGCCAGTGCAGCATTTCGTATGACCTGCAGGGATGATTTCGTGGCAGGCACAGCATTTCTGAAACGCATTTCAAAATTTGCGAAAGCCTCGTGCAACTTTTGGATATCCGATGTGCAGATTTCGTGGCAGGCGCAGCACTTTGTGAATCTCGATG